ATTAGACTTCTGCCTTGTATTCACAATTATATACTATAACTTTCGGTGAATTATAGGACATATTACATACACAAAAACACAGTTTATTATTAGGACAGTGATAGTTCGCCCAGTGCAACTCAAGTGAATCGTGTACTACGCAGTTCTAAAGATCGAGGGTTATGTCTTGCCAGCGTGCTTGTGTCCTCGCTGTTGTTGCCACTAGGTTTAGCGCCAGTAGTTTTGATGGTTTTCAAGCCTCTGCTGCGTATCTGAAACTGAATGGGATATTTCTTTAACATGTTTTACTGCTTGCAAGTCATTCATGAAGAATTACATTGAAACTATACCAAGAGCATTAAGCAGCAGCGGCGCAGATAGTTGTGACTGAAACCTTGGTTAATATTTCTAGATTTGAGTTGCTTGCGAGACCCCATAGTTTGAATGCGCGTAGTCCAGGATTGCATTACCTGGTACTTTGTACAACAATATTTGTTTTTGAGTGACAAAGCCGATTTCGCGCCCTAGTAGCCAGTACATCTTTTTGAACTTGGAGCGTCTAGTTCTTTTCTTTTAGTGGCTATGTGTTTTTCCACGTTTTAAAACTCTATCTAGATCATTACTAGATATCGTTACCGTGTCTGCCTGTCGTATTAATTTATCATTCCAAGTTGATTGAGGCATTGTATCTTCTTCTTATTGGTGAAGGTCAGAGGCCGTGGGTAGACTTCTGCTGCATTCACTCGATTCTCCCAATCTTTGTAAATTTCATTAGATAATTTTGTTAAGTGTGTCCTAGAGCACTTCAGAACGCCTTTTCATTGATCTTCATGACTCGTTATTTAACCGCTGTGTCGTCGCGTATGTATTGCTTGTTGTGAGTCGCGTTTTAATGATGGAATAATCTGCTGTGTAAAGAAGATTAGAGGGACAGGTCCCATACGCTCCTTGTGGCACACCAGACTGTGCGGGGTGTAATTTGAGTAAGCTTCTGGTTTTGTTTACTTGGAAAAACCTTTCCAGGAGATATGACTTTAAAATTAATGTGAATTCTGATGGTAAGTTCTTTTAATTTATATAAGGGCCAGGTGCCACACTTTATCGAACGCATTGACGACATCCTATGAACGCGGCCCTGAACAGTATATTGCTTTCTTCCAGACCTTTATTAATTTCGATTACTATTATCATATGCACTTGTTCGATGGTAGAGTGAAAATTTCGCTGATCAAACTGGTAGTTGGGTATAAGATTATATTCATTTATACGGAACGTTTAGACGTTGTAAAAGCAGCTCTCTAGCTGCCTTCGAGATTCGTTAGGTTAGTAAAACTGAATAGGTCATGTACGATGAGACGATCATGCGTTGGTTTAACCAGTTTTGTATAAGAATTATCTGAGGCTACTTCCATTAGAAGGATAATGGTCCAATTCTTAAGACTGCGATTGGAAATAGTTGAATTATTAGTATTTTGCTTTCTTGGGTAATTTCTTCAACACTTCGCCGGTTATATAAAGTCATGTCCTGGGGCTTGTGTGGCGGTAAGTTTTGTATAGCTTTTTCTATTTCATAAGTTGTGAATGCATGAATGGGCAGCGACATTTGCAAGGGAGTCAAGATAATGCTCGTATCTCACTTCGCTTCTGGTTCAGTTGCATGAGATTAAGGCTGGAATACGTTTGCAAGTGTTGTGGCAAATGCTGCTGCCTTCTCCGCAGTACTTTCTTGCCACGGAACCATCTTTTTGCGTATAGGGGAATAGGTTGAGTAGGTCTTTTGAATCTTCTAGTTGCCTTCCACAATGAATAATCGGATTCTTTAAAAGGGGATAGATTCTAAGATATTATATTCATTTCGTTATTCTTCAAAGTTTGAAGTGCAATATTTTAAATCTGTAGTGCTCGTTCAGTCTTGTCTTTTATCTAGTGGATGTTCAGTTTCTTTGATAGGTTCTTTTTAGTTGCCTATTGATGCAAACTTTTCCCTTAATGTGCTTGAGAAGTTACTTTGTTATTTTTATTGTTTGAAATTTGAGAGTTGGAATGCATAGCTGCGTCTCTGCTACATCTCGTGCAAATGTTCCACTGCATGCATCTACTTTCATCTCTTATTGTTCAGCGAAGCTGAACCATATTAAGAATTATCTTCTAGATTACAGCTGGAATTCATCCCAGTCAGTTTTTGAGGTGGTTAGGTTCAATGTTTCTCTGAAGTGATCGTATCTGAGTGACTAAATTTTTAAGATAATAGAGGAGTCAAAAAGAGAACTAATGACAATAAGGTTGGGAACAATTTTTGACTGACAAAATGGCGCGTAGTCGTGAAAATTTCTGAGAACAAGCCGAGCACATTCCGTCGAGGATTAAACACAGGCATGAGTCTACTGTGCCAATTTAACTCGACTATAAAATGCACTGAAGATCAGTTTTCTTCATAATCTAGCGGATTTAATCCACATACTATTGATTAAAAATGTAATTTATTGTAACAATTTTTCTATAATAACTTTTAATTTATGTACAATTAAGTATAATTAGTAAATATTTTAACGTTTTAATAAAAAACTAAAGACAGGAATTATTTCAACAATGGTTAAAAAATCATCAGCGTTGCATAACACTGTGTTAAAACCCCCTACCCCTATGTAAAACAGTGTCACGCCTAAAAACCCCTCCCCTTCTTTTTATCTATACGTAATTTATGGACGACCCTTTATGATTATGGCGTGGAAGGCGAAGCAAATCACTAGATCACATCATATAAATCATCATTCATCCTTTCATAATTGCTACAGCACCACAAATAGCGCCACAAAAACGTGTCATTTAGCCAAAGTTCATTATACGAACACGGAATCATATCGCTACTCCAAAAAGAACGTCATTTGTCTGTCGGTCTAGAAGCAGCGTATGTTCGAGAACGCCAAACCTTACAAAGTGTATTTTGTTCTTTCCGCGTTCAATACAGAGTGCACAACGTATACATTACAGTGACTCAAAAGAACTAGGCCTGCCATCCCGATGCACATTACAACCCCCCCAAAAGCGGAGGAGTTTCATCAAAATGTATTTTTTTTTCAAGATATGTTTATGTGTTACCTAAACAGAAAAATTGAGAAATATGATTCAAGTGGATGTATGTTATGGCTTGTAGACATTTTTAAATTACTTCCTACTAACTATTTATTCATGCTTTCAAATAATTTTACGCTAAATAACTTTCGCGAAATGAAGCGCGTATAAATGTTGAAAGAAATGTTGTTTTATAGTTTTTAAACAATAAATATTTACTGATAAATACATTTTTAATTATTTATAAACCGAAGAATACTTCCAAAGTAATATAAGAAAGAATCAATTTTGATTACATTTAGCCATAACAATCTAATGAAGTTTTTGATAAACGAAGTCAGATGATGTGCCACTGGACAGCCGTGGCGCGGCAGAAAGACAACCTTCCTGCCTAAACAAAATATTTAAAAAATATTTCATAATGCCATTCTCACGTTGCGGAAAACTTTTGAGTTAGTGTCAAACAGTAAACAAAATTCATTCTACGCCTCTCCGTCGCTTGCTAAAATCGAAATCCCTTGGTATTCCTAAGTTGCCTTTACCAATATTCACGGACAACATGAAAACCTTTTCTTTTCCGAAAATCTGCCCTTTAATACTGAACTTGTGAAATGAAAAAAGTTCAATTCTAGTCGAATTGAGAGGAAACATAATAAAATGCGCGGTAGAATTAACATACCTAGGATGTATTTTCGAACAATAAGAAATATAACGTAATTTTCAAATATACAGAAAAAAATAGCATTGTGAATTTTTAAGAAGAAAGCAATCTTAAACCTTGAAAGCAAATTGAGTGCAAAATCTTAAACGTCTTTCACCTTAGGAAATTACTTGGATTTGCAAAACCAAAGAACACGTAATTATCAAATGATGAATATTTAACGTTTACTTTTTTGAACTATTATACTAGTGAGTTATTTTATTTTTGTTTATCTAGATCGTTTTGTACCTTAATAAATACATTGAACTCAACGTGAATCAATGTTTATACTGAATTAAAACATGCAACGAATACTTTCAAAAACAGGTACAAGAAGGAACAAAATTAAATGACTCTCAAACTTAAGTCATATACCTAACATAACCAATTCATTCCGTGTTCTATCCTCTACAAAGAAACACCTCTATATGCGAGGGAGCGAGACAAAGCCTTGAGAATTTTAATGGAGGAGCTAGGTACGAACAACGTCCGCACGTACACTCTCCTTTGTTAACAGCGACTATTCTATGAAAAGTTTAGTTGTTCTCTTTGCTCTTGAATACACATGACTCAGGTTTACACGAGAACCTTTCTCTTCTTTCTACTGGAGCTTTTAGATCTACCAACTGTTGGAAACTTGCGCTTGGAAATAGCGTTATACAATTCAGCTGGAAATATTGTTGCGCACAACAGGCGTTGGGCTATATTTTAATAGAATTCGATTGACTAGTCTGAAATTAAGTGCATAAATATACCCCTTATTGGTTAAGTATCAATCAGTATGTGATGATTATCTGATGAATCTCATTACTGTAATGCTTATTCAGTCTATAAGTTTTATATATTTTTAGAGTTTATTCTGACAGTGAGACACTTTGAAAAATCAAGTTTCCAATTCGATTCCTATCTTATTCGGAAGAGTCCAAATATTTTCCATATATGTCCAAATATTTTCTTATCAATTTTCCGGTGGATTACCAAAGAGAGAGCATCAAAACACATAACAACTCTTAATTTGTCTGTTACTGGTTGCGTTCTAGTGCTGGCTACACGGTGTCGCAGATTTACCAAAAATTTCCTCACGAACACTTTTCCAATTTCAACCCAAAATCGAGTCAATGCCATAGAAAGAATCAAGTGTTTGAAAGAAATATCGCTTAGCCTCAAACTGAAAACCAGTTTCTAGATGAAAGGAAAATAATCAGGCTAATAGAGAAACGGGAAGAAGTGGGAAGAGACTTTAAGTACCTAAAGCAGGTGCGGTGTGAAGGAAAGCAATTGTAGAATAGATGCGATCGAACTTGAACGAAAGGTTTCCAACTGTAAAAGTTCACCTCGAGGAACTATCAAAGAGGCGGTGTAGACGGTGCATGTGGCGGAAGCGTCTGGAACAGAACTAATCCCGAGCCAATCTGCAGTGGAAAAGAAGTTTTGTTGGCACAAAAGATCCCGTACTTTTCCCAAACGCCGATTGAAGTGCAGTAATATTTATGTCACCCTGCCTTCTATTACATGTTAAATTCTTTACTACTACTTACGCAGTACAGAGAAAGTGATGTAATGCTGCGGGGAAAACGGTGAATTTTCGACAGAAAAACTCTTATTGCCGGGTGCTGGTAACAAAAAAGTGTGTAAATATTGTCCCTATATATAGGTTAAACTACTTAACTTTAACATCTTCTGCAGTTTTTGAACGGTTGAAGTTATTGCAATGCAATTTTCACGAAGGGTTACGAGAGAATAGGGATAATTGATGCATTATTCATTTCATTTTTTTCACTTGTATTTTACGAGATATTGAGATAACCTTTCTTTTAAAATGGCACCACACATTTTAAGTCTATCATGACGAGTGTAAAAAAACGAATGCGATGATATCCATATTGTCATCTGTTAGATCAGCATTTTTGGAGTAATTTTGATCCTTTTGCGATGTTTAACGAATATTTTGAATGTCCGGCAAAAAAGGTCACACAGTGCTGCGCGTTGGGGAAGGGCAGCTGATCCAAGTATTTGAAGATACTACTAAATCGAATTTCAAATCTTCACAAAACTGTTGCAATTTTTTTACAAATGTCTGCTTTCCATCCTTCCGCATGTTCAGACTTTTTCGCCATTTTTTGATTGAAGGAATAGAAGGAATTGAAGGATTGAAAAAAAATTCGTCATAATTATGTATTGAAATAAAATTGTTTTTTACTTAAACTCCATTTAATGGGGTTTCGTACCACAGGATATTAATGGGATATTAAAACCCACCATAATAAGAATAAATAATTAAGATTGTAAAAAGAATATTGCACGTTTTGAAGAAACAATTTTAATGTTAATGATCATATAATAATAACTTAAGGGTAAACAAATCCAGTAAGATAATAACAATAATTATTAATAATACTTTGTTGAATTAAACTTGTTAAAGTTATAGCTGAATTGGTAGTAAGGCATAAATTGGAATATTTCAATATTATGTAATTATTTCCAATGGTGCGAGAAAGTATGTGCTGTTTTAGTTAGTGCACTGCTTGTTCAACTAATGCTATTAGAAGTTATTGTTTTTGTAAGAGAAAAATTGCAATTTGCATTTTGTCACACTGGCCTTTCCTTCGAGGATATCCGTTTCTGACCCAATAAATGACCGTCTTCTGTTTAGGGTCAACCGCAACCTTTGTTTGTAGCAATGTGACGCACATACTACACAATTAGAAAACACTGCCGCTACTTAATCGACTGAGTTAAAGATAGTCTTTGTCAACGCAAACCTAAATGTTGGCATCAAATCTTTGAATTATTCTCCAAAAAACGGCACATTTAAAGTTGTATCTCTCTTTCATCGGGGATGCGATAAATTGCATCCCTTGCCACCAGGTAACTTCAAACATAATTTGTATCCAACACTAATCGAAGACCTGGAGAGGTGGCTCAGGTATCAACTGATGTTAGCGCAGTGCCTTTGACAGGGAGGTTCTAGGTTCGAGTTCCGATAGTTGGTAGGATTTTCGAGACTATCTCAATAACTGGGTCGAGTTCAGTCGCTGTTTGGAGGAGAATTCGAGTGGGTGAGTTTTGGGTAGTTTTCCGTGGTTTGTGCGATAAAGACCAGGCGAAAATCGGAGCAGTACCCTAACAAACGGGTCACGGATCGCACGCTATCTTTCCTTTCCATTCCTTTTCTTAGCCTCCCTCTTTCCTACACACACTCTTACATGCACTACACTACACACATGACTGGAGTCTGGTCGGACATTTAAAAAAATAGTTGTGTTTTGGATGAAATTACAAAGTTAAGTTAATGTCAACTTTGCATTTGGTGATCGGACGTTTAGAGCTTGTCCTGGTTGGGACGACACACCGCTGATGGGAGATAACTGGTAGGGTTGGTTGGTGTTAATGATTCCAGGCGCATCAACTATACTAAGATTTATTTAACTGTGCACTTGATGTAAATCAGCTGTTCACAGTTTCATCGCATAGTGACGTCAATGTAAGCTCCCGATTGGATGAACAACGCAACAGGTGATTTACACCAAGTGCACGACAAAATAATGGTACTATACTGCGGTTATTATTCCCTCAAGTGTAGTGCATGTTTCCCCCTTGGGAGATGGCGGTGATATTCCCCAGCTGCATCGTACCTGGTTGGGGAAAACCCCGCTAGCCGACGGTAGCGGCGCCGTATCTCAGCATCCAGAAGGGAGAAGAGCAACGCCACTTCTCGAGAAGAAATCACTACACTTACGGGATTAATGAACTTAGCAGTTGACGTGCTCAGAATCAACCAATCGATTAATCAAGTAACTGCAGCGGGATCACGTAAATTTATCTCATTTTGTTTGCGTTCATGATCAAAAAGCATATATGAGCCGAGCCAACGCTTTAGGGGGGTGAGCAGATGGTGACCCATTCCCCCTGATGAAGAGCAGTTCCTCTTCAACCTGCCGCGCGGAGAGACGGCTCCTGGAGCGCTGCCAAACAGCAGCGCCACGCGCACGGTGGCGTCCGGAGCCCGATATCAGTTCATTGTTTTATTAGGCTTTGTGGTTGGGTTTATGAATGCATTTTATTTATCTATCCGGGACGTCTTTGTTCTTTCTTCTCCGCAATAAGCAAGAAACGTGTACAAGATAGAAAAAATATTGGACACAACAATTCCGGCTTAGACAAGTTTTTGCTCTATTTAAAGTGTCACCCCCAAGTAGCTATCGCGCTAGTTTCCCAAATACTAAATTCTGTTGTTCGCACCCGACGTGAATATTTGAAGAGCAGAATAGTTTATGTGTGTCATGTCATGGTGTAGCATGGAAAAGAACTGTGGCAGGTGCCCGCAAAAATTATCCGTTCAGATGCCGTTCTAACGAGATTCCAAGTTCTGCGCGACTGGACAGCTCGAACATTCCTAGTGAAGACGACATTCTACCGGGGAAAGTGAGAGTCAAATATCAGGCACTAAATGAGAACACGCGCGCATGGCCAGCTTGTTCCAACATTACTTTAGAGTCATACAGGTGTGGTTTTCTATGTAAATCTGGTTAAAATACATGTTTTAAATTAGAGAAATGACAATTTCCCAACGATATAAAAATCCCAAGTTTAAAACGATATAAAATTACGAATTTTATTGGGTAAATTTCACAATTTCATGGCTGATCATATTATTACCGTTTACATTTTTGAAGCATATATGTCCAAGCTCCAAGAAAATAATATACGGTGCATAACTATCCCTGATTGTAAATATAATAAATAATTAACGGAAATACGTATGTTTTTCTTTGAAATACAAATAAAGAATATAAGACGAGAAATACCATGTAAGAAATAGAGTCCGCAAATCGAGCAAAGTACTCAAATTCCATTATCTTACACAAACACACTATTATATATATGAAGAACGCTGGAAATGCGTCGGAATCTTACCCCATTCCGTATCAAGTATGCAATTTGCAGCAACAATGCGAGAGCAACAACGAGACGAAGATGTTGTACTTCCGCGAAGTAACCCGCGCCGGCGTATTCAAGCGCCCCCGGCATGCGGCCCGCGCTCTGGGCGCATACGGCATATCGCCGGCACGCGCTCTGGGCGCTCTGGGGGCGGCGCGGCGGCGCGGGGCGGCGCGGGGCGGCGCGGGCGGCGCGGGGCGGCGGCGGGCGGCGCGGGCGGCGCGGGGGGCGGCGCGGGGCGGCGCGGGGCGGCGCGGGGCGGCGCGGGGCGGCGCGGGGGCGGCGCGGGGCGGCGCGGGGCGGCGCGGGGGCGGCGCGGGCGGGCGCGGGGCGGCGCGGGGCCGGCGCGGGGCGGCGCGGGCGGCGCGGGGCGGCGCGGGGCGGCGCGGGGCGGCGCGGGGCGGCGCGGGCGGCGGGGGCGGCGCGGGGCGGCGCGGGCGGCGCGGGGCGGCGCGGGGCGGCGCGGGCGGCGCGGGGCGGCGCGGGGCGGCGCGGGGCGGCGCGGGGCGGCGCGGGGCGGCGCGGGGCGGCGCGGGGCGGCGCGGGGCGGCGCGGGGGCGGCGCGGGGCGGCGCGGGGCGGCGCGGGGCGGCGCGGGGCGGCGCGGGGCGGCGCGGGGCGGGCGCGGGCGGCGCGGGGCGGCGCGGGCGGCGCGGGGCGGCGGCGGGGGCGCGGGGGCGGCGCGGGGCGGCGCGGGGCGGCGCGGGGCGGCGCGGGGCGGCGCGGGGCGGCGCCGGGGCGCGCGCGGGCGCGCGGGGCGGGCGCGGGGCGCGGCGGGCGGCGGCGGGGCGGGCGGGGCGGCGCGGGGCGGCGCGGGCGGCGCGGGGGCGGCGCGGGCGGCGCGGGGCGGCGCGGGGCGGCGCGGGGCGGCGCGGGGGGCGGCGCGGGGCGGCGCGGGCGGCGCGGGGGCGCGGGGCGGCGCGGGGCGGCGCGGGGCGGCGCGGGGCGGCGCGGGGCGGCGCGGGGCGGCGCGGGCGGCGCGGGGCGGCGCGGGGCGGAGCGGGGCGGAGCGGAGCTGGGGCGGAGCGGGCGGGAGCGAGGCGGAGCGGGGCGGGCGGAGCGGGCGGCGCGGGGCGGAGCGGGGCGGGCGGAGCGGGGCGGGGCGGGGCGGAGCGGGGCGGAGCGGGGCGGAGCGGGCGGAGCGGGGCGGAGTGGGGCGGAGCGGGGCGTGTCAGACGCGGCATTGTGGGGCGGGCCCTGAGGAGAGGAGCGAAGTGGGGCGAGCCAGGCCGAAGCCGTGAGGAGCGGGACGGAGCGGGGCCGGAGAGGAACCGGACGCAGAGGAGTAGATCGAGGCGTGGCCGAGGGGAGGGACTGGGTGGCGGTGCAAGCGCTGGAAAACTCGTAAATTGGCGCGCACGCAGCGGCGTCCGCCGAGGCGCCCGGCGCTCGCTCCCCGGTGCCACTGACAGCGCGCGGGCGAACTCGACGCCCTCCTCGCTCGGCCATCACAGCTCTAAAAAAATGTGCCAGGTGCTGCTGCAGCTGCTGTGGCAGAAAACGAACGCTGTCCTCTGGTTGAGCGGGAATTGTGTGAGAAAAAATGCGAGATGTTTCGAAGTCGTGGTTGTTCGTGATGTGACCGGGAAAAGGGCGAGAAAATCCGTGTACAACAAGCAACTATGGTAATCCAAGTACTAATTCATAATAATGCAGTATATAATAATACGAAGTAATACACATTACTTCACAAATAATTCAGAGGATATACAGTTTTGAAGCGTAGTCATTAAAAACCAGAAGATGTACCAAAACAGATCAGGAGTCATCATGATAACCACAAGAAAAAGTACCATAAAGGTGGCTGGCCTAAAACACAATCACAATATCTACCAGTTTGCACGCAACCAGTCCACTGAAAAGTGCTGAGGGCGTCGCTTCATTTTGTGCGAGAGGTAGAGAGATCGGGAATCACGAGCCACATTTTAGCCATGGGCCCTGCCTCCGCTCTCTCCGACGGCGTACCAAGGAATGGCAATAAACGTCGATGTTTTTAAAACATCGGTATTGTAATATCGATGTTTTATTCAGATGAATATATTTGTTCAGAAACATCGAGGTTTTTCAAAAAAATATTATGATATAAATAAAATTTCCATTATGTATTTTTTGCTCGCAATCCACGTGGCAACAACTATTCATAACTGTCGCTGTTGTCAATCTCCACACGGTACGAAACTGTTTGCTATTCGCAACCTTACTGAAGTCGTAATACCTTTTTTAACTATTTTTTGTGGTAATATCGTTACACTGCAGTTTAAAGCTTGTGTACACTGAACACGGATTGGAAATTTAATATGACAGTCTAATTTAAGGCAGAAAAAACATTAAACTGATATTGACGTGTTATGTATAACAGAAGAACACCGACCTTTTATTCTTGATTTGATTCATCATGTTAGGGAGTTTGTGCACCTGCGTATGTGAGTGTTTAGTACTGCTGCATGTACAAGAACTATGCTCTTCAGCATAGGGTTTGTGCATCCTCGAACGTTAAATCACCATCGATCATCTTCCCATGTGCAGTTCAAATTTTGCATCACTTTAGTGCATATGCGCACGAGCAGAAGATCAATAGTGCTGTTCTCTACGGCGTAGACAAACACCCTATTTAAAACATGCATAATTTAAACGTAACTTTTTTCACATTTTTCACATCGACATCGACATTTTGTTAATGCATCGACGTATCGATATTCTGCTAAAATCTGCAACTGGTGCTGACATGGGCCGCCATCGGAGGCATGAGTGGCAGAGGGCAAAACTACTGTTTCACTTCTACTACAATTCACACCCTCAACCGAACTAAGTATTTACTATATCTCATCATATTTTTTAAAAATTCTCTAATCTTGAATGAATAAATAACTATATTTCTTAAAGATCTTTGATCTTCATTTTCAGTAATATCAATTGGACTGAATATTATGTAGTACTCAGACGAAAAAAAAACAACATATAGTCACAATTTACTGACAGTACTGTATTACTACATTTTAGAATAATGTTCCTGATCATTTTTAATGTTTCCATTAAGTATGAAACAGATCTAATTTAATTTTTATGAATGACATAATTTTATAGCTCTTCCCATCTGCTACTCCGAGGAAATGAAGTATTTCTATGTTGAAAATGATAGGTATTAGTTTCAGACTGTCCAGCATACACGGTTTTTTACTATTCTGTTCTTTGATTTCAGCATTTCAATCCATTTCAAGCGATATTTTCTAATAATGTATGGACATTTTTGTTGATAATTATTTTCAATTTTAAACAGTCTTGGGGACACATATTCCGAAAACATACGAGTTTTAATACGTGTTCTGGTCATTGTCGTGTTATAATAATATAGGATTTCTTCTGGATATCAAATGAACATATTTCGCAGTTAATAATTGCTTGCCGGTCTCACCACTCAGAGAAATGTAGCCCGAAAGCAAATGATATATGTGTAGACTCTCCTGTTGGAAATGTTCATAATTAATATTTCCTTAAAACGTTTGAAATTACCCATTTTGGACGATATATTGCTGTTATATTCAAATTTGAGCAAGTACACGACAACCTCAATCCTGGAGTCTCATGATATTTGTACTCTTAAATATGAACATTATATCTTGAGAAAGAAATATTGTATATTCGGCCCGAAACTTCCGTGAAATTTTTACACATGTTACAACTTTGTAATACATTGCATAATTAACTACAAATTAATACAATCACAGGATTTGTATTCTTAAACGGAGCGCATGAGATTGACATTAAACCCAACTGTAATTTACACAAGACAATTTTATTCACTCTATGCTTTAGTTGAGACCTCACTCCCCAGCTCCACTACTATCCCACCTCCATCGCTCTGGGGTCGCCGTGAATTTGAAGCCAATGATGCAGTTCACCGACTGTTTTACGATACTTCCAGTGTGACCTGAGTTTCTTGAATTTATATTCTCTTCTTGTTTTCCACTGCAAACAACGTTCTTACTTCGTGCGGGAGCAAATGATGGTGAGCACGTGACTATTTAGATGTAGAGACCGGACGTTCTCCTCACCCTCATAGGAATATGGGGCTCATTCCGAACATTAAACTCAGATATTTTCAATCGTTTCCTATCGTAGGCCCCTTTAAAAGAAGTGTTTGTTTCATCGGCCCAATTACATTTTCTATATAATATGCAGCATCCATAGTCGAGACACAAAGAATTGCACATAAATGCCGAAAAGATAACAATTTTGTACACCAACATTATCGAAAATATCTCGATTTTCACTAATTGAATATGCTTCCACATTTGAGTAGCTGATTTTCTGATTGTTTTAATGCAATGGTTATAAAATATTCAGTGTTCATTGTTAAAATATTCAAACAATATTCATTGTTAAAATATTCTTGTAGATGCATAGTTATAATTTCTTACGTTTTCTGAACATCACAACAATTTGTAAGTTATGGCTACAGATTTCTTTTTACTTTGTATCAGAAAACAACTGATTATGTTAATTATTTTAATCAATGCGCCCTAATTATATTGGTCAGGCGATTCATATTTTGCTATGGTCTCCCAATAGAGCCATTGAACGTCATTGACCCCCTTCCAAATTTCATCGACCCCAAGGGGTCTATATGGACCCGTCGGAAATCCCGTGTCTAACTGATTTTCTTCTAACTATACCTCCTCCAGTTCCTCGAAGTAAAACGTAAGATCGTGACAGCCGTAGCGAACCAAACCGTCTTAACCACCAGTTGGAGCTACTACTTCTAAAAATATGAGATTGGAAAGAGGAGAAACTAATATGTGGAAATACTTCGACTTACAATGTTATTTATAACCGTATAAACGCATCACCTCTGCAAATCTTTTATTTTACTTTCGTTCTATTCCGTATAATTCACAATGACGTACATCTCATATAACAGTTCGGTGGTGTGTTTTAATAAATAAAGGAAATTATAGTCGGGTACAAAATTGGCAAACTTAGCAAAATTGGCTAAGTTTTTAAAGTTTTCTTGAATCCAATATTATATAAAAGTTACTACTCAATATATTTACTCGAAAACGTAGTATAATATGCATTTTCAACTTTATAAGTGATAGCAATTTTAGTGGTTTTTCATTCATGTTGTTTCCCAAACTCCCTACATATTTACATATTCTGAAACGATCAAAATCTATTTTCGAACTGTAATTAGGAACTTGCTAGCACAAACGATACAGTATTTCATTAGCAGATTAAGCGAGACTGAGCTAATCAAATTAAACCACGAAGTATTGAACTGTAACATATTTACAAGCTATTAATCACACAAACGTTTGAAAGCAAATAATGTACTCGCCAGATTCATCATGTTAGTGCAATGCTGAACGGTAAATAGGAGGTGTTTCAGTGTTGGTTCACTAATAGTTGGGGAAGAACAACAGCACATTTATAAAGTTTCCCTTTTTACAATACAATACGTCATTATGAGAAAGAGCATTAATATTTAATATTACAAAATTATTCTAAAAATGTATTCAACATTTTTGTTTCACCGTTCCTTGAATCATACTTTTCGCTTCTTAATAATATAATAAAGTAAACTATTAAAATTTCATTAAAGTGTATTCGAATTACTAAAATAATGACTTTTTAGTTGCAAAAATATATTTCCTTAATGTGTAAAACATTAAAGGTGTGAATTTAAATAACTTACGTGAGCATTTCAGTAGGTTTGGATTTAGAACACAATTGAAATAGCTTCATCTATTAAGGTTGAATTTTCAAATATCTGTTTAACTCGACAAAATTCCACTGTAACACATAGGAATGAAGCAATGTAAATAACTCATGGCCCATGGATGCAGTACTTCTATCAGAACCAATTTATTTTGGCGTTGATCACAAAATGCCACGTCACGAACAGCAGCCTTTGAAAATCCACTTAGGGCTCACATGAAATCTGGGTCACCTTCCTCGCCTTTGTTCTCCTAAATGGTGCCTGGAGACCATTGCTTTACATCACTTTATCTCGAAAAAAAAATCCTGTACACCTCTCATCTGGTTCTTTTTCGGTCTTGGCAAATGAATCGAACGGCCTTTGTGCTTTGGTTTCAAAATGACATCCATCAGTTGAGTTGACTGTGCAAAAGGAGTGCTTTTTGTTGCCGTGCGTCCCGTCAAACATTGCACTCATCTATCGCGCGTCAGACCTCGTCACCCGAATGTCCGAGTGGTGGACAGAGTGTAATGTCCAGTGACTAGTCAGTGTCAGCTAGACCTGTCCCTCTGGAGATGACTGTGCGTGCCACAAATTATTTACTGAGATGTAACAGTATTCACTACAGCATATTCCAAGTAATGTTAACTTACTTGTCCAAATACTGGCAAATAATTCCTACTGCCTTTATCGGATTGAATAATAAATATTTTTATAATTTATAAAAATGTTCAAAAATATCTGGAATATTTTATAAAATTCGTAATATACTTTCTTGTTCATTCACAACATATGTATGGATATTGTTATGTACTGAGGCCGTTATATATCCCAAAGATATTGAACTGCCTGCCCAAGCAGACGGAAGATATGTGATCTGTTATTATTACTCGTTGCGATGAATCAATAGCTATCTATCAACTAATCAGTGTTAGAAGGAAACGATTCCATTGAGACTCGCCCAGAAGCACAACTCGGGAATTTCTTGGGAGGAATCAGCAATGAAGGCGACGAGTGTTCATTACAAACCTGCATATAATTTTACAAGAGAAGCTATTGATAAGGCTTTATAAGATATTGAAAAGATGCCCCTAAAAAATTGTACAAAAACAGGGATTTCAACGAAAATTAGATCTGCGCCATAATTTATGGTATACGTAAGCAAATATTAATCAAATATGTAGAGCCCGTTTCAGAATGTTGTTGAGGTTTTACTAAAACTCAGAATACACGTTTCAAACTCGCAGGACATTGAGTTCATACAGATCGATTGCAGAATAGCAATTTGGGGAAAATCGTATTTTAGGTGCTAGCATTGACTGGAGATGGACGGACAGACAGATGTTTTGCTGTCAGTCGGTTTTTCGGTATCGAGGACTAAAAAACCAAGATTCCCAAATGACTGTGCAGTGCGTTAGATGAAGTACTTTATTACATACAGGAACAAGATGTATCCACTTTTTCGTTACAGGGCCTGGAAGTAACGTGTTTGTTGCTACAGTAACCATTATGTCCGGTGTATTAAGTAAAATCCTTTAAAATTCCTAAAATTTCTTTACATTCCTTGAAATCCTTTAAAATTCTTCAAATATCTTTAAATTATTATAAAATATTTAAAACTCCTTGAAAATAAAGATAACAATTCCAATGCGTCATTGAAATTGAAACGAAATAAAAATATTCATTTTTTCGAGTTGTGTCAACTCGTGAAAAGAGACAATTGAAGGATGTAGCGTCTGTTTGCTTGAACGAGATTTTGTTGAGGAAGAAATTGAATAGAGTTCACTGATGTGTGGACGCCTGAATGTAGGCCGCGAATATTAACGTGACATTTGGGTTTTAGAACCAAAATAGTAGCGACTTCATGACATTGGAAATTTGGCAAAACCTTGGGGAACGTCTCCCAGAAAAAATTAATGAGTGGTACTCTATCAAAGAACTAGATATACGAGGAATTCCGTTACATGAATTCACGAATAATGTATCTAATTTCTGTTAGAATTAATAAGTTCGTATTTAAATTACCTCAAGAGATAGGCCAACGAGCAGCAAAGTTTGGTGAGTGATAATAAAGTTGCTCCTGAATTTATTGGCGTTCAAAAGTTCGCGGACATCCACTTGTGCATACGCTGTTGCGGGAACATTGAACATTCCGTAGATCTCTAACAGAAACCTGTTTCCGCGCATGCGCAGGTACTGGGCGGTGACGAACATCGACTACATCCACCAGCGCACCGCGCGGCGCATCGGCCTGATGATCCTGGTGGTGTGGCTGGTGGCGATCCTGGTGTCGATGGCGCCAATGTTCGGCTGGAAGGACGACGGCTGGGAGTCCCGCATCCTCAACGAGCAGCGCTGCCTGGTGTCGCAGGACCTGAGCTACCAGATCTTCGCCACCACGTCTTCCTTCTACCTGCCGCTGTTCGTCATCCTCGTGCTGTACTGGCGCATCTTCCAGACGGCGCGCAAGCGCATCCGCCGGCGCGTCACCGCCTCTGCGGGTGAGCAGCGCGCTGCGCACTCCCGAAACGCGCTTGCGCACGCGCGGATACGGGAATTTCCTTCGAGCGACGGGAGGAGCAGCCATTAAACCTGGGGCAAATAACATAAAACAGTCGCATGCCAGGTTACTTCGGTCGTATAACGGTTAGCGTATCGGGATTGTTGTACCCCAGTTTCCGGGTTCAAGGTCGAACTAAGTCACTGATATTTAAGGGTAAAACAAACTTTCGTACGCTTACATACGGAGGGGAAGTAAAACCGTCTGTCTCATGTTGTAAATTTACTTTCAACGTGCTCACGCATGCGCAGATTCGGGAAGTTCCTACGCACAACGTCGAGCTGGCTCTCAGACTTTATTCCCGAGAAAAATAACGTAACAGTCGCATGCCAGGTTGCTTCGGTAGTAAAATGGTTATTGTATTGGGTTATTATACTTAGGTTCACGATTTCAAGCCCGAACAAAAAACGGGGATTTTTAAAATAAAAAATCCTTTGCATACTTTTCTTCAGAAGGGAAGTGAAGCCAGGTGTCCCACGTTGTAGATTTTTCAGCACGTAAAAGCTCTTCAAACCTAAAAAAGCCTCTGGGCTAATTTTAAACCTTTTTAAGCCTGTTTACTTGTCCGAATATCTTCTTTCTTTGCTAGATGGTGATAATAAGGCATGAATTGAATTGAATACCAATGGAGGGGAGGAAAGCGATGAACTCCGGTGAATTTTTGGGTTCTATATTTGTTTCGGTAAGGAGTTACAGTTTCATCGTCTCGTACTTTTATTATTAGAACCTTTTCCAACCATAAGACTCTATTTTACGAAAAATGTAAAATACATATAGTATTCATGTATGTAAAATACATATATATGTATAAGTACATATAACATTAGCTACTTGGCTCTCAGAGAGACGCTGCGTCCTAGGTACAGGTACCAACGTTTCGGTCGCTATTTAGTCTACGACCTTCCTCAGAACGAAATGCATTTGTCCTGAGGAGGGACACAGAATGGTGGCTGAAACGTGTGCACGAGGACGCGGCATCTCCTGGACAGCCAAGTAGTCACTGGATCCGGTCACGAAAGCCTACGCACCCATGTAGCACTAGTTCTTATGTAAACATTTTTTTCGTTCGATTATTTTGTAATTTATTCTGGGATTCGTTCTTGACTCTCCCCTCCTCCGTCGTGATCTCTCTGTACCGAAACGGCTTGGTATGCGACTGTTAAGAATTGATATATTTGCAGCACCTGTCCATATATTGGGAAAGGAAAGCTAATTTTTTGACAATGAGTAAAAAACCTTGGACGGAATTTAGCTAATCAGAAGATCCGAGAGTTAGATCTCGCCCACTGTGATTAATGTAAAATACACTTTAAGTTTGCTCAACTACACTTAAGGTTTATAACGCAGAATCACTTCTACAGTATTTAGCATGTTCATTATTATTCTCTTATAAAAACAAAATGGCTGACTCAAGAAGCCGCCACAAAGAGTCTACGACGTTCGTTCTACACGATGCTTAAACATCTTAATGTTTGAACAAAACAGTGTTATATGCATATTCTACAATGAATACGATAACAATTAAATTTAAAAAGTTAATTAAGATATTGAATTGCTATTATTAATGAGAATCTTATCCAGCTAAAGGAATACATAAGCCTACTTAAAGCTATCAAAATTGATTGTATAATATATTACCTCATTGTCAAAAATCCTAGCATACAAAACCTGGGTTAATAGCATGCTCGTTGAAAGATGTGAAAGTGTTTTGTGAAGGTGGGGAAGAAGGGACTATGTCAATGTAATTAAATGAATATTATCTCGTCCTTACACACTCACATCCAAGTCAGCCACCCAATTTTGCGATTTCAAAAAGCGAAGGAAAACTCGAAGGGAAATAAAAAATGAATTTATCTGGAAGGTTCGCAGAACCACTCCAGAGCAGGGTCGTGTTAACAGAAACGTGGTTTTTGACATATGTTTGGTCGTAAAAAGGCTGAGGCACAAGCTACTGAAGAAGTGTCATTACGAATGGCAAATCTCTCACTCAATAGCAAGCCATACGCTAGTTAGAATTGGGAATATTTTTGAAAAATATTTACATAGATTTTGTCCATTGAAAACAACCATTTCCCTGAGTGTATATACAATTGCGATGATATAAATTTGGTATATTTAATTGATAGATTGGGTATTCTTTTTCATCACAAGTTTATAAACGCTTCTTCTTGAAAAAAATTACTGGAAAATATAAAGTACTTGAAAAAATTTAAACTTTAGTGTGATTTAAATGAAACTATTTGATGTAACTAAAACATGATTTTTATAAAATTTAAATATCAGACATAAAGCAAATATTCAGATGGAACACATTTGCCTGGTGTTTGGAGGTTGGAACACATTTGCTTAGTTTTCGGTACACAAAAGACATTCCTCAACCTCCCGAAATCTAACTAAAGGAATAAATAGAAGTAGTTGTACTTCCTATTCCTACCTCACTTACCAACATTTTTGTACTGCGATCATAAATAAAAACTAATTTAATGAACAAGAAAATAAATACGTATACTTGTATCTCTATTAGTGTTACGAAAAACTTATCATGACAATTTAAATTATACATTGCTCAACGACTGGATTATGCCAGCACGGTTTATTATTTTTTGTCCTTTTTGGTCGACTTTCATCTCATTATCACCCTCTCTACGTTGATTCAATCTTCAGAACATCACGCAGGTATCGAAAAATGGATTTACTTTCTCACTGCAAGCTTGACTCAGCATGGACAAGACGACTATTGTTCCGATCTGCAAGCTGAGGCTTGTGGTATACAACGTAGCATAATACGATGTCAATTTCTATGAATTTACAAGAATCATTGTTGTAGCATACATTCGATTGTTAGTACAAGACAAAGTATGTCATATAATAACGGTTTTTTGAATCAGTTTTTCAACGGACAAGACATAACAATTTCCGGTTATACTTCTCTGGTAGATGAAGCACGTTTATTATGCGATAAAAAAGTGAACATTCTTCATGTGATACAATTTAACAAACGGATAGTAAAATGTATCTAATTATATAAATAAGTGGCGAAAGATTCCTAAGTTTCTTTTACATATGCATGGCCGATTATACCTTAATTTCGAAATGAAATCGAAGCATTGTTGATCACAGCAATAGTAAAGAGAATGAAATCGCTCTAACAAGATAGTGAAAATTAATTAGTTGCAGAAGCCGAAAATTGAGTTGCACTAATATCCACGAGAAGAAAATAAACAAAATGATCATTTGTGAAGGTCTATAAATTCTAGGATAATTCATTAACAGCCATCCCAATTTAAACGAGCTTCTTTGAGTTGTTACTGCTTTTGATGTTATCGTCTCATATTTTTTTAAATAAAATGGTGTGCTGTGACTGAAATGAAAATTTATATTGACATGTTGAAAAGTTGTATTTATTCCTCACTTCAGAGATAGAAAAAAGTTCAAAGCTTGTTTATTTTCAGCAAAATAATACCACAAAGTACTCTGCAAACACGTCTATGTGATTTAAACCTTGTTTCCCGGTCTAATTGGAGATAATATAATCTAAATGGTAATTTTCAAAAGTGAATAGAGTCAAATAGCATTTATTTTCTTACGATTAAAGAATGAATTAATGATTTGAAAAAGTACGAAGTATGTAAAATCAATTGAGTTTCTCGATCACTATAAATAGCCATAAAGAGTCCCTTATGTTGACCATTTAAATGTTATCTTTGGCTTCGATAATAATTTAAATCATTAGCGATATTTCGTGCTTTGAGAAAGCTTTCTCAAGATATCATTCATCCCTTACTATCCCACAAATTTTTATCCCATTTTGGATATTTTTGGAGCAGCATTTACCTCCCTGTCGTCTTTTTTCATTACTTCGCATACTTTTCTTCTGCCACCATTTGTCTTTTAAAGAGCCTCCGACTACTTGGCCTTTTATACAACACCTCTCACACCCATTACTCTCCTCGGTTCTTCCACCCTTTTCGGCGGCGTCAACCCCCGATTTATCTCCCTCGCCCCCTCCCCATGGAAGCGCTTCTTCACCTGCGCTGCGGTCCGAGAGATGGAGCCTACTTCCGCGCCGCTCGCTCTCGTAAACACACCATCGCTCTTGCCCGCCTTATCTTCCCTGCGAGCACCGCTCGTATCTGCTTCACGGGTCCTCACTTTCTCTGCTCCAGCTGACCCTGCATTCACACTCACAAGAACATGTCCCTCTGCGCCCTCATGAGCCTTAAACCGGGAGAGATGGCTCAAGGCATCAACTGATGTCACTGCAGATCCTCTGGCCGGGAGGTCCTGTAGGTTCGAGTCCCGACGGTGGCAGGATTTTCGAAACTTGCCAGGTAGCTTGGTAGAGTCCTGTCGCTGAATGAAGGAGAATTCTAGCGGCCGGCAGCTCTGATCCGTAGTTTTCCGTGGTTTCTCCGATCACCACCAGACGAATGCCGGAGAAGTACCCTGACAAACGAGCCACGTACCTCACACGACCTTTCCTTCCCATTCCTTGCCCTATCATACCCCCTATGCACGTTTATCCTTACATGCCCTACACTGCCAGACATCCCGGGCAAACCGATCAGGAGCCTAGAGCATGTCCGGGCTGGGCCGTTTGCTCCGCTGATGGGAGATACCTGATTGGGAAAACCTTATTAGTCGATGGTAGGTCAGCGCCGGATCTCGCCATACAGTGGGGCAAGATTACCGCCACCTCCTGAGCCGAAGCCTTGAACTTCACTTATGGGACTAATGACCTTACCAGTGGGCGCACCTGGAATCAATCGATCATAAGCCTCAACCATCTTCACTTCATGTGCTCATTACCAGAATGCTCTGGCGATCCCTTCGAGTTGACGAAGAGGGTGCTCCGAGACGTATTTTCCTTGTGGCGGTCAAGTAATAACGCTATCTCCGATTTTCCTCACCCCTTAGTCCATACATCATCTACCTTTACTCCTTCTCACCCTATCTAGGATAAAACGTTTGTTATTTTCTATGATTGCCTAATAAAACGTGGTTACTATTAAATTTAAATTCTCTCGCCGCACGTACACGGTAGAACAGAATGTTTGTTTCAAAAGACGTGGTACGTTAGAAGGTCAAACATCGTAACTTTTGCCAAACAAATATATGGTGTGAAATCTCATTTAATAATGGTACACACGTGATATTTCTGCAATTGTACCTCTAATCGGTAGTCAACATATACCATAAAATAATTGTGACTGAGAAACGTATGTGGTTACAAAACTATGGGATACTTACACTATTCATCGTCCCTGTTCAAAATATCTGTACATGTGGCTCTCAATTAATTGTTGGTCCCACAGATTTGCCTACGAGGTCAGTACATTTGACATAAGATATCCCTCGGGTTTGAAACGCCAGTGATAGTGAGAATTTCAGACGCTAACTACTGCTTTTAGACTAACCCGATATTTTTAAGAAAGATTATTATAACATGTACCTATGTTACCATTTATGTATTAAACTTCATTCCCGTCCCTTCGAGAAAGTTTCGTAGGTATAGCAGAACAATAATGACAAAATCTAATACCGTCTTTACTGGTAGGCATACAGTTTCCTGAGTGTTTTTTACCTGCCTACATAAGTGCTGAATGCAATGCCAACCTTACTGTGCAATGTCAGAAATCACTCAGCATAACTTCGTTCAATGATATATTTTATCACACGTTCATTACGAAATGTTATCATCCTCGATCCAATTTTATGCCTTAGATGTGAGATAGCCTTAATTAAAGATTTCAACTGTATCATCTTGGAATCAATATATTGAATGATTGAATGAGAGAGAGTTATCCTGTTGGTTCTTGTTTCTAGATCATAATTAATAATTATTGTAAATGAAGCCATATATATATATATATATATATATATATGTGTGTGTGTGTGTGTGTGTGTGTGTGTGTGTTGTTTACTAGAGGGAAACCTGCGGGTATTACTCTCCCGTTATGGTCCTCAATTTGACCACTTCCGACTAACCCTTCTAGGGAAGTGATGTGCCATTCAATCCATCTCGGCGGGTGATGAACTATTTTTTCTTCCCTTCTAGAAAATTATATTTTTGTTTAAAAGTCACATAGCATGTAGGGACAAAGTTTGGGAGGGATGGTGAAGTGTTGGCAGAAATTTTTATGAAGTACTGCACACCTCTGAAGTAAAAAATTGATATAAAAATCGGTTGTAATCTAATTTTAAATCTTAAAAACATGAATTTACAATATGAAGCAAAATATAATTTCTGGTTTCCGCTACTCCTACAAGTACAAAGATGAAATCAATTCAAACAAATCTTTGTAATGGTAGAGTATATTCGAATCGATTCTTATCTGCGGGAAATGCGAACACAATTTGAACCTTCAGTTGTGCAACAATTCCAAAATAATGTAAAATATTTATGTTAGCTTACAATACCATTCGATATGAACGGAGCATTTACCGTCTCTTAGGAGTAGTGATGAGACGGTGATTCGCGTCAGTGCCTTTTGCCCTCCTGAACTAGTTTTCTCCAAACCCCGCTTCAGCATCGTCAACCTGAGGCAAACCTTTTGCGCTAGCACGAGACTGGGTCACGAGGTCGCGGGACAAGATAGGCACGGCC